AACGCGTGGGCGGACACAGGGGCTCCGGTGCGGACCCCGGCTGCCATCCCCGCTGTCACTTCCAGCACACGATGATATTGGGGTCGTTCTCCAGGCGCTCATCCAGCTCCTTGTAACTCATGCCTGGGGGAAGAGGCAGTGGGGAGTCAGTGGGGTGCCTGGCAGCGGCGTCAGGGGGCTGGACAACCCCCCCCCAATTCCTGCCCCTGACAGCATGGGCTTGGAAGCCCAGTTCAGCCCAGAGTCCTGTCCCCCTGCGGCTTGAAGGCTCCCAAAGGGGTGAGGGAGACCCCGAAACCAGTGCCCAGCCCTGGGCATGCAGGCAGCCCCCGGCCTCCCACCGTCCCTAAGAGCTGCACGGAGGAGCTTGGATCCTCACCGGTCTTGCAGCAGATCTCATCGTAGCTGTGGCAGCCTGTGTACAGCCGAGCTGGGTGGCTCCGCTCATCCCGGGCGACCTTGACGGGGTATTTCTGGAGCCGTCGGATAAGGCCCTTCATCAAGCCAAATTGGATGAGCCTCCTGGGTACGAGGAGGGAAGAGACTGGGACCGTGACACTGAGGCCCTAAAACACCCCAGCTCCCTCCACTCCCTTCTGGTTCCACCATGCCACACCACTGCCTCGGTTTCCCCACTTACAGATGCAGGGGTTGGGTACTCCCTTCTCACTCCCCCACACTCGCCCCCACCATCCCTGGTGTCACTGCTGCCCTCGGGGACCGAGCAGGAGGGTGCTGGCTCTGACCTCTCGTCCACCCTCTGGAGCTGCAAGGTGTAGCGGGAGATGAGGTCTCGCACCGTTGTGCCGGGGCTCAGCCCACAGTACAGCTGGAAGACGTCCCTGAGGCTGGCTCGCTTGTGCCCTGTGGGGACAGGACAAGTCACCAGTCAGCGGCCCTCTCCCTCTGCCCCCGCCAGCAGCCCAGCACGGAGTCACTGCACCTTGTTTGGTGACGTAGGACAGACACTCTTCCTGGAGACACTTGTCATCCACCAGGTCCTGGACCTTTGGCGTGGTGCAGTAGACATTGGAGTACTGGAGGGCAAGGGAAAACCAGCTCTGCTCAGCCACAGCTCTGAGAGACAGATCCACCCTGCTCCAAACCCCCTCATCCCCCTACACAGCCACCCCGATGGCACAGCCACCCAAATCCCACTCGCAGCCCCACACGCCGGGGCCTGACCTACCTGGAGTATGGAGACAAGCGTGACAACCCCGTAGTACCTGCAGACAGACAGACAAATGTGAGAGACATGCTCTGCCAGCACCCATCAGCACCCCTCCTGCATGCTGTCCAGGCCCCGTTCCACGCACTCACAGCAGGTTTTGCACAGCAATGCGCACCAAGTTCAGCTCCACGTCGGCTTCTGCGGAGATTTTCTGGACATGCCGAAAGCCATCGATGTAGGGCAGGATCTAGGAGGGGAGGAGGTGAGAGCTAAGAAGGGAGAGAGCAGAGAGGCCCGAGGTACCACCCTGAAGCCCAGGAAACTCCCCTGTGTCTGGGAGCACACTGGGACAGGCAGGCTCCATCCCCAACAGCATTTTATCCTTATGTTGGGTGAATGGGTTGCTCACAGGCCCGAGCACAAAGACAAGGGGAACACCAAACCATGCTCATTAATGTGGTGATCTCTGGGACAGCCTGACTCTCCTCTGCCCCCGGGTAGGCTGGAAACAGACCCCATTCGAACCGTACTGCCCTGGTCAAGCACACGGACCTGCTGTGTGGTGAGATCCCACTGGGAGTTGAAGAAGTCATCCTTGTCTTGGGTGAAGACAGGGACATCATACTCCTGCACGATGGGGGGGTCCGGGCGCTGCTCAATCACCTTCAGGTGGATGGTGTTCGACTCATCTGGCCGGGGAAGGGGGAGTGCTCAGGTCCCACAGAAACCTCTGCTCCCTCGGGAGCTTGTGGCCATCAGCCCCAGGACACCACCACGCCGCGCAGAGGAAGGTGTTCGCAGCCCATAACCCCATCCCTCCTGGCCCTTCCAGGGCAAGATTGGCTCAGATGCCCCCCAGCTCCAAGGGCAGAGAGGCAGGAAGCTGCCAGAAGCAGTGCAGGCAGAACTGACCCGGGCAGGGGACGGCCCAGCTGCCTCCCAGCACTGCCCTGCCCCACTCCTGCCCTTGCTGCCAGGATGGGGACGGCAAAGCTGCTGTACCTATGGGCAGGGTGCACTTTCCTTTGGCATTCAGCTCCTCAAGCAGGATGGTCATGATGGGAACCAGCTTCTGTTTACTCTCCTCGTTGGAGATGAAGCCGCTTTCCAGCTAAAGAAAGAAGAAAATCAAGTCAGTCCCCCCCCTCCCCAGGATTACTGGCTATAGGAACCACACATCTCAGACCCTACTCTCCCTCAAACTTCAAGTGACACCAGCGTAATCCTCTCCCCGCTGCAAACCTGGCCCCTGCCCAAGCAATGCCTGGTGACCCACAGCGTGCACCAGGACAGTGGTGACCCTGCAAGGTGCATGGTGAGGCAGCCAGCCTCCCCTCACATCGGCTTGGGCCTCACCTCGAGGGTGGTGAGGTAGCCAGCCAGCTTCTTCACTATGGGCTCCAGAGCACAAGCCTTGGCTCTGGCATCACACACAAAGCCCAGGTTGAAGAGCAGAGCATTTCGGCTGTACTTCTTGTGCTCAATACACACGGGGCAGCCAATCAGCTTCTTCTCCATGGCCGTGCTGTGGGAAGACAAGCAAAAGCATAACCTGCACCTACACCCTCAGGGAGGCCTGAGCCCCACACAGGGCTAGTTCCCAGTCAGCTTTAGAGGTGGGGGCTTCTCTGTTTTTCAGGAAAAATGATGTCTAATCCCCAAATGCTCAGAGTGCAAAACACAGTGTGAAGAAGTCAGGGGGGAGGAAGTCAACCATCAGAGAAGAAAACAGTCTCCTTTCAACACCAGCACAGCTCTCTTTGGGAATTAGAGACCTTGGTTACTCTGAATTGCTGCTTCCCATTCCTCTCCCCCAACCGTTTCAGACCACAACAGCAGAATGGCCGCACAGGTATGCTGCTGAGCACCTCCTCAAAGATGACTCCATCTCATGCAGCACAACCCGTACATAGATGGACACAGAGCCCATTACAAGTATGAGTGCAGTCAGCTGCATCTTTCCTGTTGGGCTAATCCATGAAAATCAGACCTGCTTTTCCGCAGCGTGAGTGCCCTGCAGCCTTCAAAACACTTCTGCCGGCCCGTAAGCCATCTGACTTTCCTGGATTTGAGGCTGACAGAGAACCACACGCCCCTAGGAAAGGGCAGGTGGCTCGGCCAACAATCACACGGTGATCAGCTTGTTCTGCAGCTCGGGCTTCGTGATGACGTACACCTGGATGGTGTCAAAGAGCTCCC